GTCGTCGTCGTCGTCGTCGTAGCCCTAAACCCTAAACCCAAGAAACAATCCTGGGCAAGGTTGGCCTCCTTCGTAGCGTCGCTGAACGTCAAAGAGCTCACGGAGCCTATGGAGAAGCTTATCAAGCCATGGCCTCTGCCAGGAAATTTCTTTAAAATGGAGTAATATTGGGATAATGGAAAAGAAAATGGAAACTACTATAATGGGTTATATAAGGTTTATATTGGGAAAATGGAAAATCAAATGGAAACTACTATAGAATATTGGGGGTATATAGGGATAATGGAAAAGAAAATGGAAACTACTATAATTGGTTATATCTGAGAAATTTCTTTAAAACATGTTAGGGAATTTAAGCCATGACTGTGTGGGGGCCGAATCGCACGCCCAAACGTGATACTTTTTTATTTATGCCTCGCCAAAACCCAAAAGTGATAGGAACCCCGCATGTTGTTCTATGGCATCCGTTCTTTATGAGGAGTTTCGACACAAGCTCCCTCTCGCATTATATGATACTAGTAGTAACTAGAATACAGTAATTCTGAATTTCAGCATAATCCTCATGGGAGCTGCAGATTAGACTTAGCCTGCAGCTGTGGCCCTTGCAGAGGCTCACCCAAGCTGGACAGCTGCTTTTGCTGCAGGACCAGGGGCCATAGCTGCCAAATTCATCGGCTTCCCATGTAATTAGAGACTATGGGTCTTCTCAAGTACGTGGCTAGCTGTGATGGATGGGCACCCGTGGAGTGAGTCCTATTGAGGTTGAAGATAATGAAATGAAAATCACTGCCACCAAGACACCCAGGTTCCAAGGTGAAGGTCTGCATCTGTGCAAATCATGCTTTGTGCACCTCTCATACCTCGCAGGAGGTCAAGGAAGGTGGCGTGCGATTTCGCTATCCCTCCATGCCGCAGACTGAACCTGGATAGTCTACCGCTTCTGCAGGGCCTACATGGCTCTTGTGACCATAACATTTGCTGGTGGTTCTAGTGTTTTTCTACGGTGGTTACAACCCTACCTCCTTGTGATGCTACTGGATTTATTTGCTTTGTAATTTGCTGTGCTTGAAGGCAAGACTTCCTGGCCGCCCAGTGTGCCTGGAGCCACCTCTTGGAGGGCAAAGGTCTACCCACTTGGCTGGTCCAGGAGCCATGGCCAGCAAGGGCTGCTGCATCTTACGCACAGTATTGAAGTGTGTTGCTCGGGTCATCGTGCCAAGCTGCCAAGCCGAAAACGGCTCAAGCTCATCAGCTGGCTTAGAAAAAGACCCGAAACACAAATCACTGGAGAGTTGTGAGGCTGCAGCAAGCTCCTGACGGCGGAGAACATATGAATCACTAGAAACAGCAGCTGCTACACCATCTTTCGGCCAAACTCTGCACGTTAGGGGTGCGCTTTTGACCAACATCCCTTTCTTGAGATGGCTCCTTTGCGACTTCTTGTGACGGCCCCTCCGGGCACAGGCAAGACGACTCTTTGTGCAAGCGAAACTCAGCTTGAAAAGCCCCCAAGAGTCAATGTCAAGTCATCATATTCACAGACGAGTTGGTTTCTCACAAGACTTGCAGTCCAGGAGCTGTTTCTTTGGAAGCGGAAACTTCGTGCGCGTCAGCCCACCAGCCTTTGCAAACTGAGGTTTACAAGCGCCTGGCCGCCCAGAAAGACTTGTGCCTCTTGGCTTGCTGTTCAGGGATTATTGCCTAATCAAACCAGACATGGTTAAGGTATGATGGACGGCTTCCTGATGAATGAGCGCAGGGACCGTGGGCGGCGGGTTGGTTTCGACTGCGTTTCCCTCGACCTCAAAAGTCGTGCTCCCCTGGCCGATGCCAATGGGCCCAACACGGGCTACATGGTAGGTAGCTCGTCCCGGGTAGATGAGAGGTGGCAGTCGGCCCATGTCTTTCAAAAGCATGATCCACGTGTAGCTTGATAAGCTGCTGCTGAGGCAAGTATCACGTGCAAGTCGAGGACTTTGAGCGCTTTACGCTCCCGGTGTTGGACCGTGTGCTTGCTGGACAGGGTGGTGGCAAGCACACCGTCTTTGTCTTCGACGAAATTGGGAAGATGGAGCTGTTCAGCAAGGACTTTGTGGCGCGCGTGCGCCGGCTCCTGGAGAGCACAGACCCCAAACTCCACGTGCTGGGCACCGTAGCCATGGCAGGGCCTGGCTTCATTTCCCAGAGCAAGCGACTTCCTGGAGTTGAGGTGGTGGAGATCAGCGTGCAGAACCGGGACGACAAGGCCAGGAGCGTGTAACTTATTGCAACATGCTACAGACAGCCATAGTCTGTCTAGTGTGCAACAGTATATATGAAAATTACTCCTCCGTCACCCGAGCTGAGAGACGCAATTCAGGTCGGGGAGCTCGCGTCTCGCTTTGAGGAGGCATGCGGGCGAAGCGATGGCGATTCTGCGTCGGGGCCCGCACCCACACCAGAGCGACCACCTGGAACTGCAACCAGGGGCCGCTGGCGGCCCAAAGCGAAGCTGACTCCAGGTCCATTTGCGGAAGAAGCAAACGATGCCTCCGACCAGGCCGCCTTCGCGCCGCCTACACGACCTTCTGTCGCCACACCTGGAAGTGGCAGCGCAGTTGCCATGGGAAAGGCAGCATACGGTCAGCTGGGTCGAGGGGAGACCGCGCTGGAATCCTCTGGCGATCTGTTTGCACTTAGTGGCGTGGAGGGCTCGGTCGATGACGCGTCCTGTGGCTTTGATCACACTGGAATAGTGGTTGAAGGTCAGCTGCTCCTTTGCGGAAAGAATAACAAAGGCCAGTGCGGACGTCGATCCAGCGGTGCCCGTGCAGACAAAGCCAGCCCAGACTTTTCAGAGGACCTGGCTTCCCCTCAGCCTCCAGAAGGCTTGCCGCGGGCGAAAGTGAAGCAGGTTGCTTGTGGTGGCGAGCACACCCTGGTGCTTCTGGAGACTGGGGAGGTGCTGTCCTGCGGCAGCAACGCTGCCGGACAGCTTGGGCTGGGTCAAGGCAGTCCGAAGATGTCTGCCAGCTTCAGTCGTGTCAACCTGCCACCCGCGGAAGCCGTGAGCGCCGGCTTCTGTCACAGTGCAGCCATCTGCAGTGAGCGGCTCTACATGTGGGGCGACTGCAGCCAGGGGCAGCTGGGACAGGGCCGCCGTCAGCGATCAGCACCAGAACCACAGCTGCTGGATGTTGGGGGCCCAGTGCGTGCTGTGGCCCTGGGGCGTTGGCACTCGCTAGTTCTGAGCCTGGGAACTGTTTGGGCTTTTGGTTGGGGACGCTTCGGTGTCCTGGCACAAGGTCCGAAGAACATGGAGAATCATCTCAGCCCAGTGAATATCGAGCGGCTACCAGCTCCCATCCATATTCTGGCATCAGGAGCTGTCCATTGTGGAGCTGTTTGTGGCCCCACTCGACAGTGCTACATGTGGGGTCGTGGGAACTTAGGCCGATTAGGGGTTGAGTTGGGCTCCGAAGCAAACATTGCGGTGCCGAAGCCAGTGCCCGGTTTGCGGGATGTCACGGCCCTTGCGCTGGGAGGCGATTTCTCAGCCGCCAAAGCAGCAGGCGAGTGGTGGATGTGGGGGAAGAACGAGGAGGGCCAGCTTGGGCAGGGAAACGCCCAGAGGAACAACGTTTGGCAACCTGTGAGGTGTCCGGCTCTGGCAGGCTTCCAGCGTCTTGCTCTTGGCGACTGCCATGCTTTGGCCTTTCGCTAGGCAGAGAATTAGTTACTTGCAGCAGGTCCTTTGCAGGCGACACTGCCTCATCTGCTGAATTTTCGGAGTTTTAATCGCTGCCGCATGCTATTGCGGGCTGAACGACATTTTTCCAGCATCGCTGCTGCTGTAAAAAAGGGAGGTGATGGGCAGACCCTGGTAGATCACCAAGCATGGGCTTTGAGACTCAACTTGCTTGACACTGTTTTAAGCACTCTCTTCCCAAATGGTTCTACGAGCAGATCATGAAGAAGTTCTGCTTTGCGGACAGCTTCCTACGTTGAAAACAGCCTAGGCCCACATTTGAGTCCTACTTCGTGCAAGTGTTCCTTGTTGCCACTAATATTTCACACGCCCTCTGCCCCTCCTCGTAGCTCGCCTTCGGGTCTGGGCAAAGGGCCACGGTTAACCTTCACATTCTTTTCAGGAGAATGCAGCAGGGAACGTCTCCGAGGCCGTAACCAGCTGCGCCAAGTTCTTCTGTCTCCAGGTGCCTGCATGTTCGGAGGAGTTGGGTTCATAGTGATAGGTAACCCAGCACAAATCATCGGCAATCAACGTGTCCCTGTCCTCCCCGGAGTATGATGATTACACATGGTGATACACGCAGGTGGCATTTAGAAAGAAGCGCACGGACTAATTGGTGGTTTCTCCGATTGAATCATGCTCCTGAGATTGATCCTGCGGCAGAGGTGCTTGGATTCCCACGTTGCTAGGCTGCTAGTACGCAGGGCACCTGATGGTGTTTTATCACACGTGTATTGTAGACTGTAAGCACTGCACAAGGAGGGTCCCACTTATGATGCCAGAGCCAGCTTCATAAGGATGCTCATGACTTGAAAACATTTGCTGCGCCCCTCTCCCCCAAAAAGATCCATGCTCCTGCAAGCAGCGGATGACAGAGAGCAAGTGTAAACGTTACCTCCACCAGACGGAAGCCCGGAAGATGCCACATCACGCAGGCAGAGGGAAAGGAGCCTCTTCGCAAGGAGCTGCTGCTTGAGCTTCGAGAGGGGCCGCTGCCATTGCAAGAAGTGAGATCTTTTCCCTAAGTTTGCAGCTTATTCGGTTGTTGCATGTAAGGTTCATAACATGGGGCGGACCAAAAACCATGGGGCTTGTAACAGGCCTTAGGGGGCCCCCCTTGACGAGAGGTCCAGCAACAAAAGGGAGGTTCGGCCCACACCCACGTGGATATTTCCAACACAAGGGATCATGAGGAGTCCCAGGACGTGGACCACTAATTGTTGAAACCTCCCTGTAGCGTGTCTCTCTCTCTCTCTCTAGTGTGTATGTGTTGAATATCATCTTTCTGACACATATTTTTCAAGGATGTCAGTAATGGGTGTAAACCCCAAACCCGAAATCATCCAAAATCCATCAAGCCCAGCCCTACAAATCAATCGGTCCAAGGCTGGCTTTCCTTTTGCAGACCATGTGCAAGGCTTGGCTCATGCTGGCTACATTGGGATTTTCTTTGGGTTGCATAGAGATTACAGCGAGTAGATATCAACAGGAAGCTCCCTTCAACGAGGACTCTACTGGAGGTTTAGGGTGTAAAGCGTGACCCCGGTGACCACTCCTGTATGAGCAGAACATAATAGAACGTATCAGAACCAACAAAGCCCTGCTTGTCTTCAGAGGCTTGCTGCATTGATGGCATGTCATTTCTATCATGCGAACGGCAGTGAATACTCGGGCATCAGGGTTTCCTTTAGAAGCCAGCATGGTGAACAAACACCTCGGACAGCAACAGGGGAACCCTGAAGAGCCCGACCCCAAGCGTTATACAGCTCGTATGATCACCCTGTGTTGTGTCCAATGCTTTACGGAGGAACTCTTGAAGATCAACACCTACATGGGCAACGAACAAACCATGTAGTTGCACATGCTAAGACACCTGAGATGTGTGCCGCTCCGAACATTTGTCCTGTCGAAGTATCTTTCCAACTTTCGTGGTCAAGTTGATTTTGTCATTTGCTGTTCTTCATGCTGCATGTTGCTGGTCTCGCGTCCCTCGTGTCGATGCACCCTGAACTCCAAGCCTTAACTCGATCAGATCCATAAGCATTTTCTTCACGCTGCTTCCACCCTGTGAGGCGGGACATGCGCTTGCCATCCGATGTCTACTGGGCATTGCCAGGGGCTTGCAGCGGGATGAGTTGGGACCCCCTATAGTACCCCTGGGCCATCAAGGCGTTTCTCAGTAAGACTGTGTAAGCAAAGGCTTTAAGATTTTGAGGCCTGTGGTGGGAGCAGGGACCATGGGTGTAACCTCATTTCTATTGGATCGCTTTCCAGGCAAAGATGCAGGGCGTTGTAGGTCTGACAAGCAGGAGAGTCTAGATCAGAGATGGGTGCGACCCAGTAGGTTAAGGTTTTCGGGTTTAAGGTTCCGCAATGTGCTGCAGAAGTTCTGATGCTCGACTTCGTCAGATGGTAAGTCCGAGAGCTTCATTTTTTTCCAACAGGTAGGACTCACACAGTCAGAAAACCCAGAAAGCCGTGAACCTTGAATTTTGGAGTGCTTGTTAAGCAGATATATGAATGGCTTACTAAAGGCCACTGCGAACAAGTAGTGAGAATAGCAGGAAGAACAACAAACATGATAGATGCGATGCTCGCCGCATTTTGTGCAGCTGCTTGACGTCTAGGTCTGGGATTTGGTTGCCTCAGCTTGGTACAGTACAGGGTTAGCAGAGTCAATGTAGCAATCTGAGTGCCGAGAGTAGCTTCTTGACCTTTCAGCCATGCTATACTTTCAGGATTCAGGAGATGCAAAGGATAGTTCTTAAGTGCCCACAGGCCTCCGCCACTGGGGGGGGGAGAGACGTCCTGTCAGAAAGGCATCCATTTGTGAAACTGTATCCTGGCATCAGTTAAATTGTGCATCCAAGTTGGAAGTGTAGAGAATGTCCACTGACAAATTAGAATGTTTTGCGCTCGACGATTGCTCCCAAAGAACGCCGCATATCATGGCCGCTAGGACACCACTCATACTTGTGGATGCAGTCAAAGGTGTGGAGTGAAACACCTGACCGCTCAGAAAACAATCATCTTGATATTGAATTAACCACATCTTCCAACGTTCCCTACACGGGTGGCTGAGATGCAGTGTCGAAATTTGTACTGTTCAGCACTGCTCCGAAACCACCTGACACTCAATATGCCAAGACAGATATGCTCTGGCGTTGTGGGGTCGCGAGTTGCACAAGAGCAGTACGAAGTTTGTATATGCAGATTCAGGGTACACCCAGTACAGCGACCTACATATTCAGAACGCAGTGTTTGACGTAGAGCATACTATCCTTGAAAAAATCTGGGGAGGAGGATGCTGTGGGAACCTGTTTGTTGGAGGGCTTGGGAACATAATGCCAACTCCACAGCCCCGGACCCAACAGCCCTTCAAACCAACACCTAAACACGCATGATTTCAAATTATCTAGGGAGTATCTAGGAAATTGAACGCGTGTTTTTGCAAGTCTTGACTACACGGGCTTCTTGGTCATGAGACCAGAATCATTGAAACAAAAACAAGAAAAACGCCCTGCCCTGACCATGAAAACCTTGGACAAACCGAAAAAAATCAACATATCTAGGAACTTGCAAATGCATGTTGTCTTGGTTGTTGGATATAAGGGATTTCATGGTCAGGCATCTAAAGCTACTGGAACCATGAAATCCTGGCTGCCAAACAGTCTGAAAATCCATTTTATTTGTGCTTGGTCTGTACAATGCCATACATGAGATGTAGCACAGAGTTTTTAATGGCTCTTGTCACATCCTAACACCATTCCTTCCTATTCAATGCGCATCCACCTCCCGTCATACATGCAGAATTACAAGAAGCAGAAGAAGCCCGGCCCTACACGTATATGTATATATATATATATGAGCACAGATGGTAACCTCCCCAGGATCAACCTCGACACCTCACCCTTCCTGGTTTGCTACCTATTCTCTTTAGATGATGTTTCCGTAACATTGTAACTAGCGGTGAATTTGGCCTTCTCCATGAAGATTCGCATCCAATATCATTCCTGGAAAGAGCCAAAAAGCGGATGCCAAAAATGAATGCCCCTGGCTTCCTGCGTTTTCAAGCATGCGCACAGTCAAAGTTCTGAATGCATTTCACTGGCCTCCTAATTAAGTTAGCCAAATTAATCGAGTACCAGATTACGCCCAAGAAGCTTAATTACGTCCAATAATTGGGTGAGGTGGGTAATTGGGTTTATTTCAGTAATCAAGCTGCAGGGTGCTGGCTGTTTATTTGATTTGGCTAGTGGGAACAACTGAACAAGGCGGACAAAGTAGACTAAAGCTCAGGCCGCCTAATCAAAATAATCAAGCTACTCTACTGTCTAGATTAGCTGGATTCAGACTCAGGCCCCCTCAATCTCATTAGTGAAGAATATCATACATCTTAACAGCATGTGACTGAGAAGACCAGCGCCCCCGGATTTGACTGCTCAAGTGGATCTTACAAATCAAAGTGTTAGCTTGACTTCCGTTAGCTCGCAAGCTAAGCTACTCATTGATATCATCAGATCATTTGGGTTGCTCAAGTTGCCCATCCCTGGCCGCTACAAAAAGGATTCTGCTTTGAATACTTTGGACCCTGGAACCAACAACCAAGATGCCCCAGAAAGTCTTGGAGAGCAGCCTAAGTCCAGAGGTCCCAAAAATCTTAATACATGGTAGTTTCCATTGTCTTTTCCATTGCCCCTGTAGAAGCCTAGATTCTACCCCTATATTCCCTTGCTCCGGACAAGCATATTTTCCTCTTTTGTGGAACCCCCAGACCCAGAAAACCAAGATGGCTCCCTAAGACTTTCTGGGGCATCATCGTTCCTGATTCCCGGCTTAAAATGAAAAAAAAAACATGCCCCTGTGAAACAAAATCTCGAAGGCAGATTCTGATAGCAAATGGTTGTAAAGCGTAGATGATCCCGACGCATGTACGAAGAGATTGCTGCAATCTGGGGGCATAAGCAAATATGGAGGATATAGATAAGATATAGATTAGCCCCAAACCTTCAACATAAGATGTTCCCACAGCGTCCTCTTCTGAAAAGACAGCCCTGTGGCCAAGGCTGCAGCAGGAGGCAGACAGCAACTGATGGCCGCTTGGTACATCTTGAAGTTGCTGGGGCGCAGAACGTTGGGAGACTGTTGTGAGGAGTTGGAGGGCGCCCTTGAAAAACTCATAGGATCCAACTGTTGGCAACATTGGACTTTGACACAAATCTCAGAGGGAATGTCTGAGGTAGGTGGACTCTCATCCGGGGACAGTGTTTCAGAAGCGGCCAAATCAATTCGTGAGAAAGCTCAAGAAAGCGGTAGAAGCTAGTATGGGCAGCCTCAGTGTCGCATTGTGCCGCTCTTTTCAAATAGACACCTTGCCGCGATAAGAAAGGCCTCCACAATCCCGAATGCATCCTTATGATCCTTGAGGCTATGATGTTTGAAGCACTCAATGTAGGCTGAGGATCCCAAGCCCTTCTGAGCACAGTGCGGATCTGAAATCTCTAGAACTGTTGGTACAAAAGTCCGTTGTAAGGGAGCCACGCTTACCATTCTCAAGCTCATGATTGTTTTACGCGCGAGAGGGCACACCGACAGTCACAGCCCCAAATCATGAGCTAGCAGCAAGTGCACTTGGTAGCACTTGTAAGTCTGCTTGGGTCTGCCGAGCCAGCCAGAGCCTATCGCGTGCAGCCAGGCTATGCACTCGCCCTCCGGTGTGGGCCCAAGACTTGATAGGATGTTGCAACTGAAACTTTCAGGGATTCGCATAGGACTTGATGGGCACTAACGGCTCTTTTTCCGGGAAATGGGGTATCTCCGGGTGCTACTGGACGGGTTGCTGCACATGGCTTGACCTCTATGTCTCGCTGCCAGGCAAGGATCAGCGACCTTTAAATGAAGCCTTTCGCAGAGCATCTCTGCTTACAGTAGCGCTATAGGCTAATTAGTGGATTCCTGATAGAGTCTAAGACTTAGAATCTGGATTAGCCTGTCGACATGATGTGCGCATAGGATCTTTGAGTTGCAGATGCACGTCCTGCACGCCAACCGCAACTGCCCAGCTCAGCATTTGCATGAGCACGTTTAAACTTTTTGGCATTGTGGTATCTAATTGGCAGCCAGCCACTGCATCCCAGCTCAGCTGTGATCTTGAGAGCGCTCACGGCCCACCTTGATCTAGATTGGGGTGTCTGAGCTGAACTTCTAAATAAGCAGTCCACAAGAATATCTCTCCGGTCAACAGATTACCGCCGCTTGGCCGGATGGCTTCCAATATGGAGATCTTTATCCAGGTTTCCGTCACCCTCGTCAGCGGGAATCGCGCTGTTCTCGTGATTGAGCACGCTGCCCAAAGCGACGAACTCAGGCGCACCTTGGACAGTTAGAATCCAGAGGGCGCATGAGCCAGCGGCAGAC